TATTACACAGTTTTAACATTAGATAGTAGTTTCATACTGTTTCAGTGAGACTTACTATCTACTCTTGTCACATTTTTCAAATAGAACCATGATTTCCACTTCTCAATTTAAATTATTTTTATTGCTTTAAATGACTTTAAATCTTATTTGAGTGTTATCAAAAAGTGTTACTTTTTAAAAAATTAAAAATAGTCTAAAAAAAACCTTAAAATGTCTAAAAATAGTAACTTTATGTCAAGAATAAGACTAAATAGAATCAAATGAAATCACTTTCTCATTTTTTTCAAGTCATGATTTCATTTTAAGATCTCATATATAGTCACTTTACATGTTTTTTTGATAGTCAGTCCCAGCGGGATTCACACCAAGAATTGTATAGAACCAGACCAAATGAGATTAAACATGAAATTCATAGTCTCAGCGGCCAGTCTATATGTTATTCATCACAGCAGATACAAGAATTGTGTTTATTATTATTTTCTCTTCAAAGTATTATTATCTGATCTCTTCAAGCTTCTGTTTATAAGTTTAAACAGAAGCTAGTCTTTTCCCTGTTTCATCAGAGTGTTCTTATAGTTATCTTTAGAATCTTTCTCTAATATAATATAGTTGATATGAACAGACACTGATTTATTCTTTAAGTGAGAAGAGACTAATCATTCTCTTGAGTAAGAAGGCATGTAGACTGATCAGCAGTTGAAAGTGATATGTTCTGATTGATTACAGTTAATGCATATTTTATATTAATATTAATCAGCAACTTCTTTGAAAGTGATTTCAGAAACTTGAAAGTCTGTTCAGACAGTGAAGACTCTTATTTATATATAGATATTCAAGTCTACTCAATTCATAGTATCTGCATTATTATTATTATTATTCTTCAGTGCAGTTATATGAGTGACTGAAGTATAATATCTTCTACTGTTATTCTGTATACTTTTAAGCTTGATAAGATAGTTATTCAATATTTGAAGTTATATGCAGAAGTCTTCATAAGTCAGATCTTTATCTACACTTATAAGAGCTTATAAGAGTTTGAAAGTTAGTGTCTTCTTAAGCACATTAATCTTCATTCAATTCTCTCAAGATTGACTGTCTGCTTCTAGAATCTTGATATTGAAGTCAGGAATGAATATAGTGAGAGAAGTATTTCTCTGTTAAACACTCTGTAATTAATTTAATATCTTCTGTTATATAGCAGTGTCTCTGAACAGAACATTGAGATGTCTGATAATGTTATCAGATATATGTAATACTGATTCACATACTTTCATTCATGAATGAAACTTCTATCTCATGCAATTCTTCAATTAATCATTGATATATTAATATTGATTAGTTAATAAACTGATGATATCTTTATCTACACTTAGTTTCATGAGCATTTTCAATCTCTATGATAAATAGAGAGTGAGGTCAGAAGTATTAAAATATACAGAGATATCTAGACATTTCTTCAGTACTTGTATATTTATATCTGATTCAGTCAGTGTCAGAATTGTCTGTGCAGAGGTTTCTTATTAAGTTAGTTATTGAATTTTCTTATATTAATATTGTTAATTTGCATGCATATCAGCTATCTGTTGCTGTTGTAATTTCAACATTGCTCAGAGTCACTGTAATACTGTATCTATACTTACATTCAAGAGTTCTCTCATGTTATCAGTAGACATATCATTCATTGAATGTGTGATATCTGTGAAATTGAAAGAAGTGTAATTATATAAATATCTTATACATCTAAGGTGTTAGAACTCTCAGATCTTTTACTGACATTTTCTTATTCTCTCTATAAGATTTTATTCTCTTTGTGAGATCTTGTTGCAGAGTCAGAGTGACTGATAAGCAAGCTTCTATTTAGAGACTCAATGTTCACTTAACTAGTTATTCATTTCTCTATTTCTTACACATTGTAACATATCGTAAGAAATCCCGCTTCTCGCGGATTCTTTACCTCTATTTCTATCTCTCGCGTAATCAATAGAGTTAGTGACTCTTGACTACACATAACTATATAAACTGAAGTTCACAAATACTATTTACAACTCAGCTTGAATACTATTATATATTTAATTTCTACATTTTATCTTTCTACTGTGAATACTTCTAGTAGTTAATAGTATATATTATATCAAGCTGCAAATATCTGAATAATTATCTGTGAGTACTTATTCTTACATTTCAAGCTCTGTCAGTCAGTAACTGCTTATTATAACTGAAAGAACTAGAAACTTGCATGCTTTAATCTCTGTAAACTCTATTACAAATACTCAGAAGCAGTTAGACTGATTATATAACTATGTCTGAGATTAGAATCAAACTTTACAGTTATTGTATTATCTAAAAGCATTACTTCTGATCATAATTTATATTTATTACATTGATTTCAAATCACATTATTTTAAATATTAAATATCTCAGATTCACTTTCAAATAAAAATCTAGTCTTAGATAAAGAATATATTTGAATTCTTAGTTATATTTTTATTCTGATTTCATTATTAAGAATGATATTAAATAAGATTATGAAATCATTTCTCACTTACATAATATTATAACATAGTACTCATTTATTGAAAATTCAACAGAGAGTATTATTAAATATTACTACTTTTCTAAACACAGATTATAATTCATATAATTTTAATTATAAAAAAAATATAAAATACAAAAAAAAACAAAAAAATAAAAATAAAATAAAAATAAGAAAAAATTACAACAAAAAAAAAGAGAAAGAAAAAAAAATAAAAGAAAAATAAAAAAATAAAAAATAAAAATAACAGAAATCAAGATTACAGAGTCACAGTACTCTTAAAATACTTACTTCTCAGAGTCTTTACAATGTTTATTATCAATTATATATCTCTCACAGTGAGAATAACACAGCTGTAATAAGTTATTATTTTAATATTATCTAATAAATAATTAATATAGCATGAAGGTCTGGTCTCAACTGCAGTTTTTATTGATATAAAAGAAGCATTTGATCATGTTTCAAAGTCAAAGTTAATTCAGACTTTGAAGATGTTAAAACTGTCACTTTCTCTAATAAAATGAGTTAACTGTTTTATGTCTAAAAGAATTATACAACTTTACTTTGATGGAATAAAATAAGATAAGACTGAGATAAAAATAGAAGTACTGTAAGAATCTTCAATCTCACTCATTTTATTTGCAATATACACTGCATATCTATTCAAAGATAGAAATATGAAAATAGTGTAATCTCTTAGTTATGTAGATGATATTGATCTAGTCTACAGCTCAAAAACTATCAAAGATAATTTAAAAGTGATTGAAAAAGCTGCAAAGAAAATCCTTATCAGAGCAGATATCAATCAAATTTAATTTAATATGAATAAAACTGAGTTAATTCATTTCTTTTCTAGATTCAATGAGAAAGAACTATCTCTAACTCTTTTAAATAGAGAGATTAAACCCAGTTTAAATGTCAAATGATTAGAAGTATGATTAAACTCCAAGTTGAATTTTAAATATCATATTTAATAAAGAACTGTCAAGGCAGAAAGACTATTAAACAACATTATCAGACTATCAAATACAGAGAGAGATCTATTCTTTCAGACTATGAGATAGTTATACATAGTCTGTATTATCTCAGTAGCTGATTATGAAGTTCAAGTTTAATGAAATAATCAAGGAAATTTCACTGAACTCTTTCAAAGTCTGTAAAACAGAGCTTTGAGAAGAATTCTGAGATCATTTAAATTATCTTCTATTAAAGCAATGAAAATTGAATCTTCACTTCTCTCTTCTGCTATTAGATTTAAAAAGGCCTGTATGAACTATGCTCTGAAAGTTATAAAGATGAGCTTAAATTATATAATCAGAGAAAGAGTCTCTTTCTCATTTTCATCAGTTAACTCTGAAAATGAACTGAATTGAAATAGATTTCTTAATTGAAATGAAAATAATTCTTTAAAGAAAATGTCTTCTCAACTGTACAGACTATACTCACTGATTAAAAATTAATTTTCTTCTTTAAATATTGAAAAGATTGATCATGAGAAGTTATCTTTCTGAAGAGAAAAGCTTGAATCTCTTATAGACTTATAAATAAGTGAACTATCTAAAGAGAAAGAATATGAACAGCATTTGAAGAGAATTTCTACAATCAATATAAAAGACTCTATTCTGATTTATTCAGATGACTTAAAAAATGAGAATTTAAATAAATTAGATGCAGACATTGCTTATACTGAAGATAATATTAATTTTATCTCAGATTTCTGAAATTTAGACTGTGAATCTGAAGTCTTTGATGCTGAACTATTTATAATAGTAAAAGCTTTCAAACTTATTGAAATAAAATCTTATAAAAGAGAAAATAGTTTGAAAAAGATATGAATATTCTCTGATAGTCAAGCTGCTTTAAAAAGACTTAGAAATAGTCAGATTTATAATAATTAAATGAATCTTGAACTGATCTTAAACTTCATTTTAAAAATTCAAAATAGAAGAATATCAAAGCTGATAATTTATCTGCACTGAGTTCCTGCTCATATGAATATTCATGATAATGAATTGACTGATTCAGCTGTAAAAAAAGGTTCAGAATTAAGTAGATCTATTCAAAAAATTTTGTTCTGATCTTTTATAAAGAGAAAAATAAAAGAATCTTGTTTAGATAAGTGAAATGATAGCTGATAGAAATAAAAGAAGAGTATACATTATTCAAGATTTGAAATAAAACTCAAGTGAAAATCTTGTTCAATTAAATATAAAAAGAAAATATTCTCATCTATAATACAGCTGAAATTTGAACATGGCTATTTTAAATCTTATATACAAAGATTTGATGATAGATTTAATTCAATAGAATGCTCATTCTGTAATACAAATGAGAATTCTGAGTATATTGTAATGTACTGTGCATTATACAATAGTCTCAGAGTCAGATTGAAAGAGAAGTATGATCTAAATCAATTAAATATGAGATTCTTATTCTCAACTGAGACAGGAATTAAATACTTAATAGATGTAAGGGGCCTACGCCGATTAGATCGGTATAATATTGATAGGTCTTATATAACAAAGATAAAAACGCTAGAGAAGGAAAGAAAGAGAAAGTGCGAGAATCAGCGATCGAGGTGGATATTTATACACATATGTGGTGGCGTACGCGGTGGAGCTTCGGGGCGGAAGAATATACACACGTTCGTAGCGGCCGAGGATCGGCGATCGAGAATGGCCGAGGATCGGAGCGTACGTGTAATCTGTGGAGTGTAACGGAATAGTCTATATGATTGATCGGGGTGGCGGCCGAGGATCGGCAATCGAGAATGGCCGAGGATCTGCAATCGAGAATGGCCGAGGATCTGAGCGTACGTGGAATCTGTGGAGTGTAACGGAATAGTCTATATGATTGATCGGGCGCAGCCCGCCACAATAGACTTTTAATCAGAAACTCAAGCAGCTATAAGAAAATGACTGAATTCAGAAATATCTGAATATAACGAGGAGGAAATTGATCAGATATAGTCTGTTAAAACAGCTATATACTATCTTTCAATAATTTGTTTCATTACAGTCTCTCATTATTTTACTTTACTTTTTTCTTTCTATTCTTTTCTACCTATCTCACGAACTCGCTCGATTTTTCGAATAAGAACCCGCCGATAGATTCATCGAAAAGCCCTCGATCATACGAGCATTTTGACCCCATCGCCGACCGCATACCCCGTGTGGTGGTGGAGTTATCCAGCCAAATGTGAACCAGATGTTGTCTGAAACTCCTGTGTGAGATTATCCCTCATTCTCCCCTATCACATCACAACCCCGGGCCAAATTGCCATACAAATTGTAAGATGAAGAGACCTAGTCATATGCACCAATCTTCTCAATTTTGAAAGATTCTCAATCTGTAGTTGTGAAGATATCTGAGAAGTGATCTTCATGAAAACCCTGTTCATCTTTGATGTTTCAAAACATCAATGCTAAGTCTCACTCTTGTACCGCTCTTTCTAATCTAGCTCATTCCTGGCAGAAAAATATAAAAAGATATCTCAGTGATAATATCAAGCATATAATTAACAGCTACTTCTGAAGTGTAATCTCTGTGATCTGTCTTCAGTGTATCTAGATATCAATGCCAAGTCTCACTCTCATACTATCTCTCTCAATCTGGCTCATCCCTGACAGAAAAGTATAAAAAGATACCTCAGTAACTGTATTTAATACATAATCAGCAGATATAACAACTATAAAATTAGCATATTTCAAGATCTGACTGAGCCTTTGCTCCCTGCACAGTGAGATATATTAAATCTAGTTTTAATATCTCAATATTCAATAGATTCTGTAAGAAATTGAGAACAGTAACACTAGATTTCTATTGAATTTAAGAATTAACTCTATATTAATATAATCATTGACAAAGTCTTCTATTTTAAAATATAAATAATCAGTTCCTCTACATTCTGCTGACAATATTTATATTATTATATAGAAACAGACTTATATTCTCTATAATATCAAGATTCTGAAGAGAGAAAGTCTTGATAGAGAGTATATAATAGTGTATATCTTAGCAGTTTCTATCTCATTCTTCTACAGCAGTTAATGTAAAAAAAAAAAAAGATCTTAGCAATAGTTTTTTACTTCTCTTGAAAAAGTAAGATGTTTTTCTCTGAGTTTTATACAATATTCTTATAAAGAATTAAAAACAGAGCTGTTTTCTATCATAATTTCATATTCTTTTAAGTAAGAATTACTTTTTCAGTAACTGAAGAGCTTTCATTAATACTTAATTCTTTTTTACACTCTTTATAAACTGATTTGAGTTGCACACTTGTTGTGTGAGAAGAATTGAATAATTTAGAATAAAATTGAATAGTTTTAATTAATTTCTCTGTAAGAAATTGATTTATTTTTTATCAGTTTTTCTGTTAAAAACTGTCATATTATCTGATTTATTATCAATTGATATCATACGTTTCCTCACTGTATCTCAAGAAAGAGATTATAAAGATTTTATTGATTTATCTCAAAAATCAATTTTAGTTTATTAGATTCTCTTCAAAAATCTAATCTAGTTACTAAACTAGTGTGAAAAAAATCAGGTATTTTATACATAAAAGTCTTTTATTCTTCTTTTGAAACAGTCTAACTAACTTTTCAATTGAAAATAGACTTAGAAATCTCTTAATTGAAACAGTCTGATCAACTTTTTAAAAGAGTTCAATACATATCTCAATTGAAATAGTCTAATCAACTTTTCATTAAGTGAGAACAATGAGTTCAAAAATATACTCAGTTGATGTGAAAAAAGATGCTTTCTCAAATACTATTTCTGAGATTGAAATTCTGAAGAGAAGAAAGAAAGAAGAAATAGAGAAACAATAAGTTCTTAAAATACAGAAACTTGAAAAAGCAAGTAAGATTCTTGAAAAGCAGTGTCTGAGTGAGATAAATGAAGAAGTTCTGTTAATTCTTCATGCTCAGACTAGATAACTACAGAAGATGATCAAGTTCAAACTTGAAATTTCAAACACAGTTCAAAAAAAATTGAAAATTTCTAGTATAATCACTGACTTTTCATCTTGCTCTTCTTTCTTCTTTTCTACTTCTTCTTCTTCTTTGAATTAGAAGAAAATATATGCTCAAGCAGCTGAATCTGCTGTCTCTAAACCTGCTATCTTAAAACATGCTCAAAATCCTGAGAAAACTGAGAAGAATAATACTCATACTTCTATTGATAGAAAAGTAGAGAAAAAAATGCAAAAGAAGAAAAACTTTCAAATCTTCAGAAATAGAAGACTTATTCTTCAAGTCTCAAATCAGAATATCTTGCAAAGAAACAAGCTAATCTCAAATCTCATTTTCAGAATTAGAAATGAAATTAATCAGCAGTTCTTTTCTCAGCTAATAACTGATATTGAAGTTCAAAAATCAGTTATAGCTTCAATTGAGTCATGCTTCTTTGAAAACACTATTATTCTGACTATAATGTCTGAATTTAGTGCAGAATTTCCTATTTAGAATAAGAATCTCTGAAAATCAGCAGTGAAATCTTTATTAAATACAACAATTCTATCTAAGAGAGATGAAAAGTGAGACAAATTCATTCTTTATAATATTTCAGTTAAAATTTTTAACTGTGAAGAAGAAATGCTACTTCACAAAAATGAATTAGAAGAATACAACTCTATTCAACTGAGAAAAGAGTCTGTATGACTAAATTCAATTGAGTTTAGATAAAGTAGAAGAAATGCCTCTATTCTAGTATATATAAAGATACTTGAACAGTCAAAGATCTCTGAAGTAAGAGTAGCAGGTTTGAAAATGAGAGTTCATGAATACAAAGACTTAAGAATGAATCTCAAAACTCAAATACAGTGTTCAAACTGTTAAAGATATGAATACTTTATAATCTTCTATTTCAGAGACTCAAAATGTGCATTCTGTACTAGAGATTATAAAACTAGTGAGTATAAATATGAAACATGCTTAAAAAGAGATGAAATATATCAACATACTCTGCTTAAATGCTCTAATTGTAAAGAAAAACATGCATCTAGCTTAAAAGAATGTATATTTGCTTCAAGAACTCAAAAGAACTGAAGAAAAGATGAAGCTTAAAACAAATCTAGAACTGAAGAGAATAGTTAAATCAGTAAACTCACAACTGTAAGCTTAAAAAGAAGAAACTCTCAACTATCTAAATCTTCAAACTTCAATTCTTCAGCTAAATGTGAACAGAATTTGAATTCTCAAACTTCTATTAAGATTAGAGAACTGAGAAATGACTCTGATACTAAGCTAGATATAATATAAGCAGTTAAGATTTCTACTTTTCAGAATAGTTATAATCTACTATCTGATGATAGTGATTAGATTCTACTCTACTCTCTTTTAGTATGAATATACAATAAAAATAATAAAAAAAGTTTAAAAACTCTTCAAAAATCATATTTATTCAAAATAATATGAATAGAAACTTAAATTATATTTATTCTTATCTTCAAATTGTATTTGAATAAAAAGTTGATTTTATACTACTTCAGGAGCTGAATTTTAATACTGAGTAAAAATATATCATTTCTCATTTAAGCTACTACTGCTTTTTACCTCAAAAGTCTGAGATAAAGTCAAGAGTAGTGATCTATGAAAGAAAGAGATTAAGATATTAATTTAATCTAAGATTTAATATCATATCTGACTCTGATATTCTGATGAGTGATATTATAGATAAAGAGAATGAGTTTGATATTATACAGCTTATAAATATCTATAATAAAAAGTTATTGAAGAAAAATAATAATATCTGAACAATTAATAGAGAATTTCTAAACATAACTTCATCAAGAAACTCTATAATTGTAGAAGATTTCAATACACATCATCTCTGATGAAATTCAGAATGTAAAAGAGCAGTAAGAGCTGATAATCTGATTAAATGAATCTTTGAACATTCAATAGGTTTAATTAATAAGTCTGATCAATAAACATTCTTTAGAAAAGATATGAAACAGAAATCTATTATAGATTTAATCTTCATATCATAAAATCTAATAGAAAAAAGACTTGTAAACTGATTTATTGATTCAAATGAGACATCAGAATCAGATCATGAGATTATTCAATTTAATATTGAACTGAGTGAGAAATAAATGAGTGAAAATTCTCCTCTCTCTAATCAGTTTAACTTTGAAAAAGCTGACTGAAAGGCAGTTGAAGAAAGTATAAAACTATTAAAATCTGAAAGACAGAGTGAGCTGTATTGAAATCCTGATCAAGATATCTTAAATGAAATGCTTGAGAATAGAGTGAAGCTTATTACATTCATTATTCTAGCAAGTGTTAAAGATAATATTTCAAAGAGAAAGTCTTCTGAGTATTTAAAATCTTGATAAAATAAGAATATCATATCTAAAAGAAAACAATTGACTACTGCTAGAAGAGATTGAAAGAATGATATAATTTCTGATAAAGAGTTCAAAACTGTCAGAAATGAATATTTTTCAGATATTAAAAAAGCTAAAACAGACTGCTGAAATAAATTTCTTAAAAAAGTATAAGAAAAAGAAGTTTTTAAAGCTTTTAACTATACTAAAACAAGAAGTGTAGTAAAACTTTCAATCTTAGAATATGAGTTTCAGAATGAATCATATACAGCAAACTCTTTTGAGAAAAAATGTCAAGCTTTTATAAGAACTCTTTTTCAAAACTTATCAGATTCAGATTCAGAGGAAGAGAATATATTACTTCTCAACTATATTAATGAAAATGACTGAGAATGGCCTGATCTTACTCAAGATGAATTAGAGTCAGCTATCTTCTCAAGTTCAGTTAAGACTGCTGCAGGGCCTGATTCAATTAATTACTTAATTATTCAAAATACATACTTCTACTTAAAGAATGAATATTTTGAGCTCTTTTTCAATCTCTTTAAAAATGAATATCATTCTGAATGCTGGAGAGAAGCTACTGAAGTGATTCTTATAAAATCTAATAGAAAAACTTCAATTTCTAAGTTATATAGAGTAATATCTCTATTGAAATGTCTAGAAAAGGTTTTAGAAAAGATAATAGCTACTCAACTATCTTTTATAAACTCTATCAGTAATTCTCTTTTATTCAGTGAATAAATGAGAGATAGAAAACAGTGTTCTGCAATTAATACTGATCTCTCAGTTATTTATAATATTTAAAT